AGCGACAAAGAACTATGGGAAATCATTGTTACAGGCCGTAAAGTTAACCTGATACAAAAGTGATTGTCACATACGTTTATGTGACGTTTACTGTTTTTCAGTTCGGAAATATATGTATATACTGAATTTTTCATCACAATTCACACGTTTTACACGTGTTAACTAATTGTGTTATGGTGTGATACTTTATAATATGAATTAAAAATATGAAGAGCTGCATATTTTATTCAATGGGAATATGTTTATTCCGTTAGCACATCATGTGAAGGAACAATACTTGCAAAAAACTATAATGAATAAAAAAAGATTATTTTTTAAGTAAAAAAAAATGATGCACTGTTTTCATTTTCTGAAATGAGTTTCTATATCAAAAATAGTTATTTTTTTTTTATTTTTTCAATTTAAAATTTAAACTTGAAAATTTCCTATATATCAGTCTCGTAAATATTGTACATGTGTATATAAAAGGCTCGGAATAATTATATATACCAGGCTTGAAAGTATTGTTTTAAACAAGTAATATCAGGCTCCTAAGTATTGTATTTATACCTCATCACATTGGCGTTTAAGATAAATAAAATTGATACATGTAAGATTTAAAAGTTTAATAGATATCAGTGTGTTGAGTAATGTAGAAAATAACCTTTCAAATTATGTTAGCTAACTACTCATCAGAATTGTAAATATTCAGTAATAGTAAGTATTAACGATTCATAGTTTTCCATGCTGGTTGCACATCTAGTCATAACCTTAAGAATAACAGTTTTGAAAGCAGTATAAATATCATGAATTCTATAAGTAGCAACAAAAATATGAGTCCAATACAGTTCTGTTTTATCCATGAAAATAGAGATCTTTTCAATTACATTTTGTAACAAAGATCTTTAAAATTTATATCAAATATTCTAAAAATTTTAATGTTCTTTTCTAAAAATTAAAAAAAATAAATTGTTATTCATGAACTCTAATCAATTCCAAACTAATAATACATGTAGTTAAAATTTTCAATGCAGGAATGTTCCAACATTTTGTGATAGATAAATTTAAATAAATTGTGTCATAAATTTTAACTTTTGTAGCAAAATGTCCAACGGGCTATGTTTTATACCACCACACTTATATAGTTTATTTGTCTACTATATGATAAAAATAAAGAAAATGTACACAATTGATGTCATTTTTGCAAACACAAATGGCGGCAATCTCATCAAAATTGATACTAGCGAGAAATACGTATTTTTTCAAATATTATTTGATTTGACTTTTAATTAAATTATGTGTATTGCAATACTAATTTTTTAAAATACTATGAAATATCTTAACCATCTGCCAATTTTAGGAATCAACCTCGTTATAAAAAATGTTTTTAGAACAAGATGTGTTTATGAAACACTGATGCGCCCATTTGGCAACTTATAGCGAAAGCTATTTTTAAATTGAAAGTCACAGTCAAGGTCACAAGTTCATTGTTGGTATCCATTGAAGATTTTGACACAAGGAATATGCATCTGTGAAATATGAAAGCCTCAATATGTTAAAATGGTATAGCAAAGGTTATGGCAATAAAAAAGTAAACGAACAAAAATAAAATCTTTTCTTTGTTAAGCTATATCTGTCACAGATCAAGGTCGAAAAGGTCATTGTACATGAAGTAACTTGGGAATTGAACTTGTATTAAGGGTGGAGTATGCAAAGACACGTAAAAAGGGGTTTAGATCTATTATGGTTCATGTGAAATTCATACGGAGTTAAAGTTTATTAAACAGGAGGTAATTTATTTCCATCGATTATATTATCAGACGAAACAGTCAGCTAAAAACGTATAAACGCCCTGGATCTACTGTCATTCGTGACAAATAATGCAAAAGAACATCTGTAGACCAGATATTTCAAATCATAAGATTTTAAGTTAGATTAAGTTTTAAAAATATATCGATAGTGCAACTCACAATAAAATACAGCATGGTTTTCCGAAAAATACTATACCGTGAAATGTATTAAGTTCAAAACATACAACGCAGCATTGTTAAGGCTAAAAAATGGAGGCAGGGCCTAATTTATACGGGAAAAGTTTACTGTGACGTCACACTAAAATATGACTTTTATGTATCCCTCATAATACCAGAAAATGAAATAATTTGCAACTTAAGCTGCATTAACATAATAAACAACAATAATACTTATCAATGCATTTTAAAAAGTTGCTAGTTAAATCCAATACAGCTGGTTATAAACAAATCACTGATCTCGATGAACTTGTCTATCATGACGTCATTTTGTTAGAAATAACATATTCATGTGCTGTGAGAGGCAGATTAAGGGAAACACTGAAAATGCGTTTTATTATGAAACAGAATGTCATTTACCGATTTTGAATTAGGCTTTTAATGCCAATGTATATCCTTAGTTTAGTGCGATTATTCATTAACTACCGGGAGAATGTATTTAAATAATTTTGTTGCGTTTTTATGTTCAGGTTAGGTAAAATTTTCATCGAGGTGCCTCATTAAATCGTTCTTTTGCAAGGGTATACACTAAATAAATCTTAACCATTTTTTTAAACAGAAATAAAGAATATGTTCCTTAACTTGAAAAGTGCTGCTGCTTTCTTTAAACTGAGAGGGTGACTTTATAAGTACACAAAATATTTGGTAAAAATCAAACATATTTCGACGTGGAGCTATTTACTTGAAATTTTAACTATTAAAACGTAAATTCTATTCAAAGCAGCAGCACTTTCCAAAAAGCACAAAGTATACGGAAAAAATTAATAGCTTGAATTTTTAATTTCAAATAGGGTATGCCCTTGCGATATTGAAATTTGTTAATGACCTACATGTACAATCAGTACACGTACTATGCATTCAGCACGTGACTGTCCATCGATGAGACCAAACTTTATACAGTACGGAGTAGGTTATACTATGCTATTTCCATAAGTATTTAAGTTCTGTGATAATAAAACAACTGAATAAAAATAAATTCAGTTTTTAAAAAAATCCCGTTTTTGCACTTCTATTTTCCGTTGATTTCTCATAGTAAGCCTTAACAGTGCTGCGAATGAAACCTGTCTAATCCGACATGTATGCACTGGGAGACGAATTTTGTGTCGGAATAGACAGTGTGCGGATTGAATAGTGTAAAATAACATTTCAATTAGTAAAATGGAAAACAATTTTACGACGGAATTAACAGTGTGACGGATTACGTAGGTGTCGGATTAGACAGTTTTCACTGTATTACGTAAAACAAATGATGCCCTATGTTTTAGGTCAATATACAGTATTGTTATACCCTTATAAATATCATTCTATAGATTTATTACTTATAAAAAGTCCAACAAAAGAACTGTTTATTACATCGGTTCAACAATTTCGCTATTGACCGGTCTTACATAAGAATTGTTAGACCGCAACGTCACTCGTCTGTTACGACACAAGTAATTAATCATCGTTCAATATCGGAGACGCGAAAATAGACGAAGTTAAGAGCTACAGAGTTGTTGCTAACAGCAAGGTAAGGAAGAAGGGAAGAGTATGTTTCGTGATAAATAATTTTTGTGATACAATATATATATAATTGATTTTGTTCTTTCTCAGCTTGATGTTTTATATTTACTGAAGAAGCCATAATTTTCCATATAAAATAATTGATAATACAGCGTGTATTGATTAAATTGATCAATCTTAAGTGAGCAGTGAAGGGTATAACAAAACAGTTAGAGACTGGGATTCGGCAACATATATTTTGTTGGACCTGATCATGAAGGTGAAAATGTTGCCCGAGGCCGCAGGCCTCGGGCAACATTTTCACCTTCAGGTCCAACAAATCATATGTTGCCCTCATACCCAGTCAATAACTGTATAATACATATACTGCCCTCTTTTTGAGGTCAAAACACAGTAATACATATACATGTACTGCCAACTGTTTTAGGTCAATATACAGTAATACACATACTGCTCTCTATATTTAGGTCAATATACAGGTAATGGCCAGTTCCAGGTTTTGGTTCAAGAAATAGAAGAGAACAACACCCAATGGAGATTCCACGATGGTACACTGATGCCTGGTCACTGTCTTGCTAGTCTGTCTGGCCTTGAGGGCAAAATTCACATGAGGGCCATGAGTAGCCTAGACTTTAAATGTCAAGACGCCTATCCCACGGATAAATATCACTTTATGTGTTAAATAATCGTGTATTTCTTAGTTTCCAGTAAGCTGGGATGTACACCCAATATCACTTTATGTGTGAAATATATCGTGTATTTCCTAATTTCCAGTAAGCGGGGATGTTCATCCAATATCACTACATGTGTGGAAAAAAATGAATAACACGAGAGATCATAATATACAAGAAAGACATTAAAACTCCATTTACACTTCCACCAGAATAAATAATTTTAAAAACTTTAAATACATGGTCTTCATGAATATAAATCTGACCGAAAAGAATTCATTTAAGGAAACAGGATATAATATTCCTTATTCAAGGAATTAAAAATTCAGAAAGTAGATATAATTACCTTATTCCGTATGCTGCAAGAATTTCATTATAAGACAAGCTTAAAATAATATTCCCTCGGGAGGGAAAAACATTGGTCAATAGATACATGCAGATGGGACTTTTTTCTCAGAAAATTTCAGCATCAATGCTGAATTTTCAAAATATATATTCCGGAATGCTTAAAAAATAATTGTTTCCTGGAAGTTAAACTTTTTTAAAGATTTCATAAACGAGTTTAATGAATATCAAATTCAGATATTATCGTATATTTATCATGCAAAAGTTGTTGTGATTTACGCAATATAAATATATGTTATGATGGAATTTTATTGTACTTTTTATATAATCAAATGTTATCTAATTTTCTATTGCATATTCTGCTTTACAAATGCCCTTCTAGACTGCAAAAAATAATATTTGTTTTTTTTTTCAGGATATTTTATTTAAACATTTTATTTTAAAAAATAATCAAAAGTAATATTTTGTTGCTTTGTTTAATCCACAAAAAATGTACAAGCTTCTTTTCAAACTTTCCCAAATGACAATGAATGCTATATATTGGCCCGTATAGAATGGAATTATGAACAAGGTTCTTTTAAGATTTTGCTTTGTAAGCAGTGACAGAAATAAGACCGTTTTTTTGCACTGGACATGACACTAGAAATGGTTAAGCGTCTATTGCGCTGTATATCCACCATCTACTGGAATAGCTGTCCCTGTCGTATTGTCTGCTGCCGGGGAGCAAAGAAAGGTAACTAGTTCAGCCACCTGTCAAAGATAAAATAGAATGATATAAAAGATAGGACAAAAATTGAATCCAGTCGACTGGGGAGTTGCACTTCTTTATGGCACCTGACCCCACGTTAATCGATGTTTTAGGGGTTCATGTTTGCTCTGCATTAAAGTTTGTATTGTTTGATGGACTTCAGATTTTAGATACATGTTCTGTTTCTCTGTCTCAATATTTCAATTACTAAATACCTGTTTAAAAACTACAATCTGTTGAAAACTTCTTACAAAGTAGATCACATCAGTAATTATCAGTAATGAAAATAATAAATTATTATAACCTCTTGTTCACTATAATATATATGTATATTTCATATACGTGATACTTTTTCTTTCCCTGCACCATCTTTCATAGAAACCGATTAATCCTTTTGTAGAATCTATCAACTTAAATTATCGCCATAGTGGTAATTCAAAGTCTTATATTTACATGTAGCTGAAATGAGTAGAGGCGTCGGAGATAAATATATTGAACTTATTCACATTTGTTTCATTTAGTGTACATTTACGTAAACATAGCCATTTATTACAAATCACATACCTGAGAAGGTGTTGTATTCTTATTCGTAGGATTCATTCCTGCAAGACTCTCCTGAAATTGAAATTAAATGTATATATACTATATATATTTTTATATGATAAAGTCAGACAGAACTGGTTGTGGTTTTTGGCTGAAAATGTTTTTCCTGTAATATCAGACTCCTTGTTTTAATACATAAGCTGAGTTTTTAAATATGAAATAAAAAGTTTTTTTTTACCAGACACTTTTCTCGACTTTCCCCTGATTCTTTTTGCATGGACACCAGTGCAGGTTAAGAACTACAAATTATGTGCATCAGCGTCAACATATACAAATGGAAACAAAATCATTTATGATGCATGCACATATTGTCATATCATGTTGTCATATTTGTTTTTAAATTTAATGAATGCAGCTGTAAATTGTCGCCCCTATTCATGATAGGGAAATAACGGGAAAATCCGTCGTCAATTTAAAATGTAGATAATGCCTAGCAATAAGTACAGACCTGAGACCTCTGCCCCCCACACGCTCGCTGCACGAACGGTACAC